GAAGCAGAGGGGAGGAAGGGTGGGGGGTGGAACACCCACAGGGACAACCATCTTGAAGAACCTACCTTACTGCACAAGGTGAGTAACTTCCCTTTCTTAGAATCATAGAACCATAGAGCTGGAAGAGACCTCAGGAGGTCATCAAGTCCAGCCCCCTGCCCAAGGCAGGACCAATCCCAACACTTCTTCTTCGAGGAGTGTACCGGTGTGTGCTCCACCTCAGGTGACTATATAGCAGTACCCATGAATGGAGGTGGGCGCTTCAGCTTAATGATTATATTGAACTTTGGAGAGGACTGTCAATCCCAACTCCGTGCCCCATTTCGTATAGGCGTCCATGACATAATGTCTGGCAAAAGTATGTGCAGAGGGCCATATAGCTGCCCTGCACATGTCCAGTAGGTTAACATTGCTACAGTAGGCTCTGGAGGTTGCTATGGCCCTTGTGGAGTGTGCTCGCAACTGCAACGGGGGCTCCTGGTAAAGTTGATGTAAGCCAATCAAATATAGTCTACTATCCACTTGGAAATGCTCTGGGTAGAGATTTTGTCTCCCAATGACCTCTTAGCGATGGAGACAAAAAGTCTGTTCGTTTTACGAATGTCTTTTGTTCTTTCTAGGTAGAAAGCAAGTGCTCTTCATACGTTGAGAGTGCGCCACTTAGCTTGTTCATTGGCGACATGCAGTTTTGGGCGAAAGACCGGGAGGACCAGCGGTTCATTGCAATGCCAGGAGGTAAGGACTTTAGGTAAGAATTTTGGGTGCGGTTGAAGGACCATGCTGTCCTTGTGAAAGACGGTAAAGGGTGGGTTGGCCATCAGAGCTCCAGTTTCATCTACTTTTCTGGCTGAGGTAAGTGTGACCAGCATTATAACTTTCATTGAAAGATACATCGAGCACATGGCCATAGGTTCGAATGGTGGGCGAGTTAGAGCACATAATACGAGGTTGAGGTCCCAAGCTGGAACTGGTGCCCTGATGGGCGGAAACATGTTTTGGATGCCCTTTAGGAAACGTTTAGTTGTGGGGTGGGCGAAGACCGATTTGTTCTCAACGGGTTGATGAAATGCTGCTATACCCACGAAGAGAACCCTTACTGAGCTGAGGGAAAGTCCTGTACATTTCAGATGCAAAAGCTACCCTGTCAGTCAGAGGAATCATGAATGGGTCTGTGGCTCTGAGGTTTGCCCAAACAGAGACCTTACGCCATTTACCCAGGTAAGACTTTCTTGTAGAAGCTCTGCAACTACTTATTAAAATCTGTCTGACCTCATGAGTGAATGAGGCTTCTTTGGGGCAAGCCAGTGATAAGCCATGCTCGGAGGCAAAGAATATGAGGAAATAGATGGCGAACGAGCCCCTCCTGCTGAGTCAGGATGCAAGGGTGCAATGGAAGGTGCAACGAAGGCCTTAGAGACATGTGCATCAGGTAAGTACAATGTCCGATGAGGCCAAGCTGGGGCGATGAGGATCACTGGTGCTATCCCTGCTCTTATTTTGTTGACCACTCGGTGTAGGAGTGGGGTTGGTGGGAAGGCATAGAGGAGGGGTGTGTTCCAGGGAATTGTAAAAGTGTTCCCCAGAGAGTGTAGTCCAATGCCCACAAGAGAACAGTACTGTGGAAACTTTTTGTTCGCAAAAGTTGCAAACGAGTCAACTTTTGGGAATCCCCAACCCGGAGCCCTGAAGGGTGTAGGAGTAGGGGACAATTTCAGGGCTTGCTCCTGTTTTTTTGTGGGAGTCACCCTTGCTAATTGAGTGGGATCTCCTCCTAGCATATTCAGAGGAAGAGTTCCCCATGGAGAGACTAGCCAGTGCGGACCTCTCAGACATGGCCAGAGGCGACGGCTGGCACGGGGGGGATGACTGCTGTGGATCCGAGGCCCGGCGTCACCGTATTCTCCAGCAAGAGGAGTTTCAGTTGGAGTTCACGGGCCTTTCTTGCGCGAGCTGTGAGCTGTTTGCAATGCTCGCACTGCACTGTGATGTGTCCCTGACCGAGGCAGTGCACACACTTGGAATGATCGTCGGAGACGGTTTGAAATTGTCCCATTCCTGAGGTACGAGGAACTGTTAGACAGGAACAGTTGGAGTCTAACAAAAACATTTTTTTAAACTACTATCTATGGAAAAAACTCACTGAACCAACTACAAGCTAGCTAACTATAACTGGAAAACTACAAACTGCTATGAAAAGACAAGAGAGCAACTGCGGTTCCGACCGTCACCGACATAGAAGGAACTGAAGGGAATGGCTGCCGCACATGCATGGCACATCGGAGGGCACTGCCAGACGCACCACAGCGCTGCAAGACCTAAGGTGGAGCACCCACAGGGACATTCCTCAAAGAAGAACTTTCCTGGGCAACTTATTCCAGTGTTTAAGCACCTACCAGTCCAACCTAAACCGCCCTGGCTGCAGTTTAAGCCCATTGCTTCTTGTCCTGTCCTCAGAGGCCAAGAACAATTTTCTCCTTCCTCCTTGTGACACCCTTTTAGATACCTAAAAACCGCTCTCATGACCCCTCTCAGTCTTCTCCTTTCCAAACTAAACAAGCCCAATTCTTTCAGTCTGCCCTTCTCTCTCATGTTCCCCTAGACCTCAACCCTCCTCCTGCCTCCAATTTTTGTGTCTGCACAGGAACTTGCTGATTTCTTTCCTGAGACAAATGACAAAATACAATAGGTGTTTCTTATCTGTGCTCCTCCTCCACCCCTCTACTTACCTCAGGGCCCACATCTCCTGAGCTCCCTCACGCGCTCCCTTCTTCTGCTCTTGCTCTCCTTTCTTCCCCCTCACAGAACAAATGAGTTTTAATTTCTCCCACCTTAGACACACACCCATGAACCCACTTGCCTCACAAACTAGAGCCCTGTCACCCTCCTTCCCATCTCTCTAAGCTCAGGGAACCCGCTTGTCACGTTGCTGAATTGGAGGGAAGCAGCCAGATCGCTGCTGCACCCCTAGGTGGGGGTGTTGGCCCCAGAAATTGGTGTGGGGGGAGCCATGTGGGGTATTGAATGGGAGATTATTGTTTGCTGATCTTATGTACGCTATTTATGTGAGTGTATAATGTCTGTGTGTGTAGGTAGGAATCTGTAATCTGTGTGGAAGCTGAATATTTCTGTGAATGTGGTTAAGCATGGCTATGGACAGGCTGAGTAGCAAAGCCCTGTGGAACAATGACTCTCAATAGGCTATGGACACACCCAAAGAATGGGATTTGTCACCTGAGGGCAGCCAGCAGGAAACATAGAGATTGGCCTCTGACCAGGTGACTTGCTGCAGACTAGAAGAGGCCAGGAAGGAGTATAAAGAGGCCATGTGGTCGATGCCATTTTGTTCTCAGCTCAGCACTTCATCCCAGAGGCAGCACTGCAGGGATTGAAGAGCCCGGAAGACCTGTGAACCCATCCTGATCGTAGGATGTGCAATAAGAACTTTTAAACCAGCAGCTGCAACATCTCTGCTAGAGCCTGCATTGAGGACTGGGAGATTCGGTGCATGTAACGTACTGTACTTTAATAACCTTACTCTCATGCTTTTCTTTCCTGTAATAATAAACCTTTAGATATAGATTCTAAAGGATTGGCCCAGCGTGATTTGTGGGTAAGGTCCAGAGGGTAAATTGACCAGGGATCTGTGGCTGGTTTCTTGGAACCGGACAGAACTTGTTCGGGGTAGGTGGGATTGGGTGCTAGGACCCCCCACCTGTGTATAGGCCCGGGGCCATCTGGGGCACGGATATTGCTGGGGTGTCGGAGGGGTTTTGCTCGGGAGGCTTCAGGTAGGCTGCTGAAGCGCTCTGTGAGACTGGTTTGTGGCCTGTGTGGAGAGGTCACCAGTCAAGGGGGCTGTAAGAAGCCCCGGATTTGAGCAATTCGCCCTGAGCGGATGCCCTAAGCTGTGCCCAGACACGGCCCGGTCCGTCACACAGCTGTCTCTGCATCCTGTGAGGAACTGCAGAAGTGCATCGCAGAACCTCTCTATACTAGTTTCCTTCCGCTTGGCTCTACTGAAACGCCTCTCATCAAAGTCTCCAGTGCCCTCCTTCTTCCAAATCTCAGAGCCAGTCCACTGTTCTCAGCCTCCTGCACCTGCCAACCATCTTTGACACCACTGACCATGCTTCTCTTCTTGAAACATACTTTCCCTTAGCTTCCCTGTCTTCTGGTTCTCCACGTATTTCTCTAACTGCTCTCATCAGCAAACACAAACATCTCTACGCTGATGGCTCATCCATCTCTCTCTCTGCTCCAGACCTAAGGCCTGGGCCTGCCTTTTGGACATCTCTTTATGGATGTGGAGACAACAGCTGAAGCTCAACATGACAAAACCAGAGCTCTTTATCTCCCCAGCCCCTCCAAACCTTTCCCCTCCACCTCCTTTCTTGATCACTGTGGACACCACCCCCACGCAGATCCGTTCAGAATGCTGCTGCAACAATCGTTCTCCCAGCTCATTGCTTTGACTAGGACACCCTCTCCTTTTGTGTCCCTCGACTGCTCCCTCTTCTCTTCCATGTCGAGCACACGTCTTCACTTCCATGACCCTTCACAGCCTAACCCCGCTCTCCCTCTCTCACTGCTGAGATGTGGACCCCATCTCTGACAGGCTCATGATCCAGCATCCTTTGCCTACCTGTTACATTTTCAAACACAAGACTCTGTGCTTTCCCTGACGCTGACACACATGCCTGGGAGAAGCTCCCTGTAAACACCAGCAAAGCTACTTCTCATCCCTCCTTAAAACCTTCCTGTGCCATGATGCCTACAAATCACCGGACAACAGGTAGGCTTCCGGTGTGCTGAGACCAGCAGCGTTGGAAGGTTTCCATGTACTCCCCCATCTGCTCTGTACCCAACAGGAGTCCCGTCCTGGGCTTGGCTGGGACAAGAGCGCTCTGATCTGGGGTTGTACAGCACCTCACACAAGGCGGGTCTGGTCCATGACAGGGTTCCCTAGGTGCTGTGGGAATACAAATAATAAAAAAGAAGACCTGAGTGCCTGCACTTGACATGGACCTGCAGCAGAGCCAGTGTGGGGAACAGCTCGTTGCACTTCTCACACTCGTGGAACTTCACATCTGAAAACAAGAGCACGGGGAGAGGTGTAGGCTCCTTCTAGAGCAGACACTCCCTCTGGGCCAGGGCTTCTGACCAGCACACACCAGCTCTCAAGGGAGTCATGGCAGCAAGAGCCCATCTCACTGCAGTAACAAGCAGCATCTTGGGAGAGATGACGCAACACAGGGAGGCTGATCTGGAACCAGCCATGGCCCGCAGTGGGGGTTTAATTGTAGTGCGGACATACCTAGCGAGGGGACTCACTGGAGGAGGCTGGTTAGAAGGGACTCAATGAATGTAGTGCTATCTCAGGAGACGATGCTGTGCACAATCCTGCCAGGTTAGGGCTATTCAGGTAGCTCACTTTGGACACACTGTGCTGGATTCTTACCCGAATGTTCTGCCTTGACATGCTTCTTGTGAGCAGTAGTGCTGGAGAAGGTTTTATCACAGGAGCTGCACTGCAGCGAGGAGAACTTGGACGAGCGGTGGTTCTGAGCTGCGAAGACGTCGGGGTGATGTGTCCGATTATGATACCACAGCCCTGACAATTGCTGTAAAGACAGAAATCAAATACGTTTCCAACAGCGAAGATGTTCTATAGGGTAACGTGACAGCAACAGGCTGTGCTCAGGACGTGAATATAGTGACTGCGCTCAAGGGTAAGAGACACTTACTGCTCATCTGCTCTGAGCCTAGCTCCCTCCTATGCCACTCAGCACAGCCAGTACTTCACTTGTCTTACGTAACTCAGTGGTTTTCACACTTGGAACAACCCGCAACCCAACATAATTCTGCCTTTTGACTAGTGCAGGCTCCAAGCTGGAGCTGGGGATTTAGAGCGCAGCAGTTTGGCAGTGCTGTTGGCAGGGGGCTGGGGTGCAGACTTACCTCTGGCGGCTCATGATCAGCAGCCCAGTGGGGTGCTAAGGCAGGCTCCATGACTGTCCTGGCACGGTGGACCATGCTGTGCCCCGCTGCACAAGTGGCTCTGCATACGTGGCTGCACAAGTGGCTCTGCATTCTGCTTCCTCCTGCAGGCACCGCCCCCCAGTTCCCATTGGCCAGGACAGGTGGGAGGCCTGCCTTAGCGTCCCTGCTGGTCACCTGGTTACCCTGCCCAGTACCTGACATTCAGTGACCCAATATGAGGTCGTGCCCTGTAACTCATTCATGTCAGCAGTGCAGCATCCTGAGAGGCACTTACAGAGCATATGAGCGCTAAAACAATCATCCCACAGCTCTGAAAAGCCCAGCACTATTACATCTCTCCCATCTTCTTCATTAGGGCCCCCGTTTGGGACTGAACTTCCATTCCCCGCAGTCTCATTTGGGATCCGCAAACAAACCAGGAATTCCATTTGCAAAATGAGAAACTCCATTTGAATGGCTCTTAGCAGCCAAGAAAGCTAGAAACTTTATGCTGAAGTCAAGGCTCAGATTCTGGAGTTCAGGGCAGAAATTCATCTAAATCTTTGCAACTGACACATTTTTAAAGCCTACAGATTTTTACTGTCCTTGTTTGTATCTTTTTTTCCAGGTGACAGGATTATCCTGCTGTGAGCAATAAGAAGTTTGGTCTCTTTTCCAACGGAGGGACTGCCGTGTGAGTGTCTAATCGAACACTTCCAGTGAGAGGTCTCTCTGAGAAGCAGCACGCAATGGGGTATGCAGGAGGGGTGGGGTAATACACACATTAGAGCACTTTGGGGGTTGGCGAAACATGTGCACTAAGCCCAGCCCACCTGATAAGCTTTGTCACAAATCTCACAGCTGAACGGCTTCCCTCCAACATGGGTCACCATGTGGCGCTCCAGAAGGGACGGAGCACTGAAGACTTTCCCACAGGTAGTGCAGGGATGGTATTCCCTGGAGTGGACCTCGTGAATGTGCTTGCGATGCTCCTGCAGGGTGGGGAAGCTCATCCGACATTTCTTGCAATCATATGGATCCTCGATATCTGCTCTCACAAAAAGGTGGTGAAAATTAGGAGTGGGGAGAAGAGGAAGACAGACAGATGAGGAGGTACCAAGAAAAGGCAGCACAGAGGGGAGCAAGAGAGGAGGAGAGGCTAGTTATTTCCAGGCAGTAGCAAACATTTGTGTTTTAGGATCTTTGCAGGTAGGTATCATTCCCCTTTCTTCCCATCACTTATCCCAGATGGCCCTTTGAAGCCCCAATTTCCCTTGGCCCGTGTTGTTAGATAGTGCTGTCGTTTCCTCGTGAAGATCCCACCCACAGGGCCAGAATGGAAAGCTTCATAACAACCGCCTTTCCCTTCTCAGGAGGGAAAGTCCCACTATGCAAGCAGCTGCGGAAGACCAGACTGCAGCCATTCACAGCGCCCATGAAGCAAGGACTGCAGTAGTCTGGAGCAACAAACACTTGAACGCAGACATTTGTTCTGATGGACATTAGGAGCTCCAAGGTCTCTGGTCAGGGTAGGACTCTAGCTGAACCATGGCAGGGCTCAGATACTCACTGTGGAAGGTGCGCAGATGGATGGAAAGCCCATTGGCCTGCCTGAATCCTTTCCCACACTCCCTGCAGACATATGGCTTATCTCCAGTGTGAGTCCTCACGTGACGGGACAGCTCAATGGACTGGGCGAATACTGCATCGCAGTACTGGCAGGCGTACATCTTTCCTGCAGTGAAAGCCAAGATCAGAGTCTGGAACTTCTCCAGCTGGCCCTGAGAAAGGGGACAGGATTTCCGGACAATGTAAGTTCACCTCTCGGGAGAGAAGGCAGGAGGTTACGGAACACAAAAGCTCTCATGGGACCAACATCTTGCACACAACACAGACTTCCAGACCAAAGCAATCCTCCCCCGAGATGCAGGAATCAGAAAAGGGAGTTACTCACCTTGTGCAGTAACGAGTGTTCTTCGAGATGTGTGTCCCCGTGGGTGCTCCACGACCCTCCCTGCCTCCCCTCTGCTCGGAGTCGAAATTACTCGGGCGGAGACGAGGAACTGAAAGGGAGGGGGTTGAGTCACGCTCCTCAGGAGGCGGGAAGAGCTCGAGACGCCTCCTGGGCATGCGTGGCTCAACAGGGGAAACTGCTATAGAAAGCTCCGATCTGAGGCTCAGGGCGACCCTTCACCTACAGTGGAGCACCCACGGGGACACACATCTCGAAGAACACTCGTTACTGTACAAGGTGAGTAACTCCCTTTTCTCCTTCGAGTGGTGTCTCTGTGGGTGCTCCACTCAGGTCACAGTGTGTCCTCGTGTTGGCAGTTGGAGATTTTTGCCTACCAGTGCCTTCCTGCATTGCACATGTGCAGTTGCAATCTTGCGATGTTTTTATATGATGGAGTGTCTTAGCAGTGCTTTTTCTGACTGAAAATAAAAAGATAGTTTCACTGCAGGAAAGATGTACGCCTGCCAGTACTGCGATGCAGTATTCGCCCAGTCCATTGAGCTGTCCCGTCACGTGAGGACTCACACTGGAGATAAGCCATATGTCTGCAGGGAGTGTGGGAAAGGATTCAGGCAGGCCAATGGGCTTTCCATCCATCTGCGCACCTTCCACAGTGAGTATCTGAGCCCTGCCATGGTTCAGCTAGAGTCCTACCCTGACCAGAGACCTTGGAGCTCCTAATGTCCATCAGAACAAATGTCTGCGTTCAAGTGTTTGTTGCTCCAGACTACTGCAGTCCTTGCTTCATGGTGCAGAGTGGCATCTGTCTGCGACGAGTGCGGTTTTGGGAAAAAGGTAGGTAACACGATTGGTTCGTTAATATGGAATTCTGTACCGACCTTTGGCAAAAACGTGGGGTGGGGTCTAAGTATGACCCTATCCTTTGTGAAAATTGTGTAAGGAGGTTCTTACATTAACGCTCCAAGTTCGCTCACCCTCCTGACTGAGGTGATGGCTAGGAGGAAACAGACCTTCATAAAAAGGAAAGGAAGTGGCACTGTTGTCAGTGGCTCAAAGGGAGGTCTGGTGAGGTAGTTCAAAACAAGATTTAGGTCCCACAAGGGGGGTGGAGTCCTATGTGGTGGGTATACATTCTGGAGTCCCTTGAGGAATCTTTTTGTAATAGGGTGGTTGAAAACGGAGAATCCATCTACTGGTGTATGAAATGCTGCTATTGCAGAGAGGTGTACTCTTAGGGAAGAGACAGAGAGTTCTGATGCTTTAAGGTCCAGAATGTAATCTAGAATGGTATCTAATGGTGAGGCACGGGGCTCCATTTTGACTCGCTGACACCAGTGACAGAAACGTGCCCATTTCTGTTGGTAAGTTTTCCGAGTAGACTGTCTCCTGCTCTGGAGGAGGATGTCCTTTACTTGCTGGGAGCAGCGATCTTCTACCTCTGAGAACCAGAGAGAAGCCAAGCCTGAAGATGCAGGGTATTGAGTTGTGGGTGCAGTATCTTGCCGTTGTTCTGAGATAGTAGGTCTATCCGGTAAGGTAGCGGGTAGGGGGGCTGGACCGCTAGCCTGTGAAGGTATGGGTACCAGGTTTGTCGAGGCCATGATGGCGCAATCAGGATGACTAGGGCTTTGTCCCTCAGGATCTTGCGCAGGACTCTGGGGATGAGCGGTATGGGAGGAAAGGCGTAGTGTAGGGAGGCTGTCCAATTGATCAGGAAGGCATCTCCCAGAGAGTGTTTGCCAAGTCCCGCACGTGAGCAGAATTGGGGACATTTGGTGTTCTGGGTAGAAGCAAAGAGGTCTATCGATGGCCATCCCCACTGGTGGAAAATTGAGTTCGCCACCTCCGTATGTAACTCCCATTCGTGGTTCAAAGCGAAGTTTCGGCTGAGTGAATCCGCTTTGATGTTGTTCACCCCGGGCAAGTAGGACGCTATGAGGGTGACTTGGTTGCGGATGCACGAGTTCCACAGGCGAATAGCCTCCGCGCATAAAGAGCGGGAGCGGGCTCCACCCTGCCTGTTTATGTAGAACATTGTGCAGATGTTGTCTGTTAGGATGCGGACTGTGTGATTGGCGATGGAGGAGGCAAAGTGTGCACAGGCATTCCTTACTGCCCTTAACTCGAGGAGATTGATATGTAAGTGTGTCTCGTTTGGGGACCATCTGCCTTGAACTTCGTGGCCGTTCATATGTGCCCCCCAGCCTAGCAGGGAAGCATCTGTGGTGATTTGGATAGTGGGTTCGGTTTGTTGGAACGGAACCCCTGTCAAGAGATTGCTTGGCACTGTCCACCATCGTAAGGATCCCAGCACGTCTGGTGGGATAGTAACCGTTTTGTTTCGAGGGTGCCGTGATGGGATATAAACGGTTGCCATCCAGAGTTGAAGACATCGAAAGTGCAGGCGAGCATGGTGGACTACATAGGTGGTGGAAGCCATGTGGCCCATTAGTCTGAGGCATGTAAGTACTGTGGTGGTAGGAACTGTAAGCATCCCATTTATAATTTCTTGCATAGTTGCAAAACGTTGTTGAGGTAGGTATGCCCGGGCTGTCACTGAGTCCAGGCGTGCACCAATGAACTCTATGTCTTGAACTGGATACAGCGTTGACTTGTCTTGGTTGATTAGAAGGCCTAGACGACTGAGGAGGGTCGTGGTCGTCTGTATCATAGAGGCTGTTTCGGCGTACGAGGATCCCTTTAGGAGGCAGTCGTCTAGATAGGGAAATATGATGACGTTTTGTCGTCTGAGATATGCCGTCGCGACAGCCAGTACCTTCGAAAATACTCTCGGGGCTGATGAGAGGCCGAAGGGGAGAACCCTGTACTGGAAGTGGTCTGGTCCCAACATGAAGCGCAGGTAACGTCTGTGGGAGGGGTGGATGGTTATATGGAAATAGGCATCTTGGAGGTCGAGGGCTGCAAACCAGTCCCCTTGATCTAGCGCAGGAATGATTGTGGAGAGTGTGACCATCTTGAAATGTTGTTTCTTGAGAAATTTGTTCAGTTTGCGGAGGTCCAATATAGGTCTCCAGCCCCCTGTTCGTTTTTCGGTTAAGAAATAGCTCGAGTAAAACCCTCTCCCGTGGAACTCTCGGGGTACCCTTTCTACTGCTCCGATGAGGAGGAGTCGATCGATTTCTTGTTTCAGAAGGGTCTCGTGAGAGTGGTCCCTGAAGAGGGACGGGATAGGGGGAAGGGTAGGGGGGATAGAGGTGAAAGGGATGGTGTAGCCCACTCGAATGATTTCCAAAACCCAGCGGTCCGATGTTATGGACTCCCATTGAGGAAGGAATGGGCGCAAACGATGGGTGAACAGATGGCCATGTTGGGGTAGTGCTAGATCGTAAGCAGGGTGTCGCAGGCCCTCGACCAAATCTTCAAATTTGCTGTTTAGATGGTTGGGTAGTTGGTGGGCGGGCCTGGTTGTGGCGTCTTCTGGGACCTCGTTGCCTTGGTCTAGTGTCTTCATAGGGCCTCTGTGATCTATTATATTGCCCATATCGGTATCGGTTGTATGAGTTATATGGGGTGTATCGTCCGCGTCTATAGGGCTGCGTGCACATGCCCAACGTGCGGAGTGTAGACTTGGAATTTTTGCTGTTATGGAGTATTTCATCCGTAGTGGCTGCAAATAGTTTGTGCTTGTCGAATGGCAGATCCTCTACTTTAGGCTGGAGATCGCGGGGAACTCCTGATGACTGGAGCCAAGAGGTTCTACGCATGACTACCGCTGTAGCTGTAATTCGGGCTGCGGTGTCAGCAACATCCATTGCGGTTTGAAGAGCAGTGCGGGCGATCATATGGCCCTCATGAACTATTGTTTTCAGGATGGATCTTTTAGACTCGGGGAGATGTGGTATCAGCTCTCCCAGTTTTGAGTAATTGTCAAAGTCATGATTTGCTAAAAGAGCAGAGTAGTTCGATATTCTGAGTTGTAAGGTGGAAGAGGAGTATACCTTCTTGCCAAAGGAGTCCAGCTTTTTGTGGTCCTTGTCTGCGTTGCCCAACTTGTATTGTGGGATCTTTGCACGTTGTTGCGCTGAATCCACTACTAACGAGTTGGGTTGTGGGTGTGTGAAAAGAAAGTCGTTGTCTTTTGATGGGACAAAGTACTTCCTATCGATTCTTTTATTCGTTGGTTGAATGGATGCAGGTGTTTTCCAGAGGTCTTCCGAGGTCTCCATTATTGCCTCGTCTATAGGGAGGGCAATCTTGCTATGTAATGTGGGATGGAGATTCTTTAGCAGTTGGTATTGTTTCCTCTGGACCTCCTGCAGGGAAACATTCTGGCTTATTGCAACCCTCTTGAATAGATCTTGGAATTGTTTTAGGTCGTCAATTGGTGCAGAATCTGATGGAACTACGGCTTCATCTGATTGTATATCGGGAGCATCAGAATGTGTGACGTTTATTGAGTGAGTGTCTGATTCATTGTCAGAGATTCGGTCCACCTCCTCATCCGAAAGAGTTGCTGGAGGTAGGGACTGCGGCCGAGATAAGCTTCTCCGGGATGGAGTGGAGTGAATTGGGGAGCATTGTCCACGTGATTCCCAGTGTTCCCAGGGTCCCCATTGCGGATAAGGTGGGGGTGGGTAAGGCCAGTACGGGTGCCATGGGTTCTGTTGTGGTGGGGCTCCGTAGTCATAAAAGCGAGATTGCCTAGGTGATGGGTGCCTCGAGGAATAAGATGTGTGGTGATCATCCTCAAGAAGGGGAGCGTCTCGGCCGGATAAGATTGGTGTAGACCTGGGAGGGGA